CCCCCCCTTGCCCTATCCCCCCCTTTCGTTCGGCCCGAGAGGAGCCAGACTCCCTCGCGTCGTGAAAAAATGGCGACGGAGGCTTTTCGCTATGTTCGGCCTCCGGGGGCCCTTCCCGGGACTCGGGACCGTCAAGAAACGACTCGGGATGAGAAACCGGTCCCGGAGAAGGGGTCCGGACCTCTGAGGGTCGACGTTGCGACAAGATCACGACGTCGGGGGTTGGGGGAGCACGGCAGCCACGCGAGCACACCCCAGGCATGGTCGCGTCGTACAAAAATCAAGCCGCGAGGTGTTTGGCCACTTTCGCCCCCTTGGGGGCCCTCGCCGGGCCTCGGGGCCGTCAGAAAACGACTCGGGAAGAAGACCCTGTCCCGGGGCAAGGGCCGGGGCTTCCAGGGATCGACTGGGGGATCGACTACAGAATTGAATCAATTCTGGGGCAAATCAATTAATTCTGCAGTCGATCCGCTGCTCGAAGGGGCGCCGTCCTGTAGAAAATCCGGGGCTTCCAGGGACGCCGTCCCGAAACAGTCCGGGCGTCGCAGGTCCGGGACGGCGACGCCTCGTGCCGTGTCGACCCCCGGCGTGGGCTTCTCGCACCGCCAGGGGGGGGGCCCAGCGCTGCACGCTGGCGGCGGGAGCGCCGCCTGTCGGCACGACGCGAGCCTGGCGTAAGTGAAGGGGCCCTGGGACACAGGAATAAATAGACACAACTATAGCAGGATCCCCCCATATCTTCCTACATGTTCTGGGTTTTGGTCCTCACCCCCACTTCCCATGTTTTCCCAGCTGTTCCTATAGGGAATCGACGATCAATTGTGTCAGAGTGTGTGTGTTTCCCCTCCTGAGTATAAACAGACACAACTAGCAGGATCCCCCCATATCTGCCTACATGTTCTGGGTTTTGGTCCTCACCCCCACTTCCCATCTTTTCCCAGATGTTCCTATAGGGAATCGACGATCACTGGTGTCAGTGTGTGTGTGTGTGTGTGTGTGTGTTACCCTCCTGAGTAGAAGCAGAGGCTTTGGGAGGTCCGCGCAGGCTGCGGCGGTCGGCGCTGGACGCCCCTCCCGTCAGCGCGTGTGGCGCGCCAGGGGGCGGCGCTGGAGGTGCCAGTCGCGTCGGGCGAAGGGGGGGGATAGCAAAGGGGGGGTTTGAGAATCAGCTCACGTAGCTGATTTTCCTGGCGCCTCCCGGCGCCGGGAGGCGCCCATGTATCGAGGAATGGGCCCCTGGGCGAGGCCGAAACCAGCTGCATGCAGCAAACTTCGCAACCCCCCCTTTCCCAATCCCCCCCTTTCGCCCGGCCCGAGCCAGGGGGGGTGGGGTCCAGCGCGACCTGAGGAATCCGCGCGGACCCCCCGCAGTTCAGGATTTGATGCAGCCTCGTCTTCTGCCTACGATTAGTATTCATAGCATTCGTATTACGACTGTTATTACGATTCTTATATTGTTATATTATTATTAGTGTGGTGACTCCTCTTCGTGTTCTTTTTCCACTTCCTCTTCTGCTTCTTCTTCTTCTTCTCCTTCTTCTTCGTCCCCTTCTGGAAGCTCCTGCAGGGGAGGCGCCGCCTGGCCCGGCTGGCCGCGGCAGAGGAGCAGGTGGCCTCTCGGCGGAACGAGAACTAGAGGCCTCCCAGCTGGGGTCGGAGCGGATGGGGTCGGCGGCTCGTTGCACATTTCCAAACCTCAGGGCCATAACACATCGACCCGCATCATCTGAAGGGGCCCCAGGACACACAAATAAGTACACACAAATAAAAAGATTCCCCATATTCTCCTATATTTTCTGGGTTTCTGTCTTCCCCCCCACTTCCCATATTTTCCAATATTTTCTGCGGAATCGAGGATTAATTGTGTCTGTGTGTATCTTTTCCTCCTGATCATCGCCGATGCATCGGCGATGCGGCACGGTCCTTTGGCCCCGCCTGCTCCGACCACATCCGGGAGGCCCGAGGAAAGGGTCCGGGGCCCGTTTCCTTATCCTTCGCCGAGGCACCCGTGACCGGCCCCGCCCTTCCTGGAAATAACCTGTTCCCAAACTCCACCTGCGCCAATCGTGACGTGACCGCCCCTTTTCCCTCCTCCCCTCCGCCGCCGGTCACGCCCCTCGTCGCTAGGGTTTCCGACAGAGGACAGCACGACCATGCAGAGCAATGCAGTGCTGGACAACAACGGAGCGGCAACGCGTCGAAAATCTGCAACTCAGGGACAGTTGTGTGTTGTCCGTATTCTCCCTGGCGACGGAGGCGTCTTGCAGCCTCGGAGGGCTTCTTGAGAGTCTCCCCCGGCATCTTGGGGCCCTCCCTAGGGGATTCATCGAGGCCCTCATCGAGGGCTCCTGGGCCCTCTTGAGAGAACACAATTTGGGCCGCTTCGGCCGTCCTGGGCCATCCTGGGGCCCCCGTTGAGAGCCTTTGGAAGGCCTCTCGTCGTCTCTTGTCGGAGCAGGGCGACTTGTGACGACGGCAGCTCCACGTCGGTCCTCGGACCCCTCCCCGAGTCCCAACGCACCAGGTCTCCCAGCTGCGCCTGGCCGTGGCGACGAGGGCCCCCCCCCCGAAGACCAAGCACCGCTGTCTCCACTTGCCCTGCGGCGAGCGAGGTGGGGAGGTGAGAAGGAGCGGGCCTTCTCAGAAGGCTCGGGAGTCCCGCAGCCTCCTGAGAATCACTCTACAGTCGGGGCGCTGACCTGCGGGAACCCTAGACACAAGGAGCGAGGCCCCTGAAGTTTTTCTTCCCCATACGTTGAAACTGCGATCTCCCGTCGAAGCTATGAGGGAAGCCTGGGGCGAGGAGCACGGAGCCCCTCCCTGACGAAAAGGGTTCCTGCTTCAGCGACCCGACTGCAAGCCTCCTTCTCGTTCCCCCCCCTCGCTTAAAACAGGGCTAGGATCGGGATAAATCGCTCCAGAGCGTTCCGGAGCGCTCTCAGAGCGTTCCGGAACGCTCTGGAGCGGCCGCGGCGCCCAATACATCCTCCAAACCCGCCGACTCTCAGAGATTTCGAGTTATCCCGATCCGATTTTGTCCCGATCTTCGCGTCGTTTTATCGCTCGCCGCCGAGCCCTCCACCTGGCGGCCCCGGGAGTTCAAAGCCGGCCGGCGGCCCAGGCGAAGCAGCGCCAAGGGCGGCCGCTCGTCCGTCGCGAGGGAGGCGCGCAGCAGCTCCTCCGCGCCCTGGTCGTCTCCCCGCGCGTGCCGCACCTCCGCCTCGGCCAGGGGGAGCCCCAGGATCGACTCGAGACGTCGTCCTCCTCCTCCTCCCTCCTCCTCCTCCTCCTTCTTCCTCCTCCCTCCTTCTTCCTCCTTCCTCCCTCCTCCTCCTCCTCCTCCTCCTCCTCCTTCCTCCTCCTCCTCCTCCTCCTCCTTCCTCCTCCTCGATCGACAGTCGAAACGGATCGGACCAGCGGGAGTCGGCAGCCGAGCTGGGAAGGGTCAAATCGGCGGACAGATCGGCAGGTGAGCAGGCTTCTGGCTATGGAGAGATCGGAGCCCAAATCGGCATCCTCGAATTAGGCTGGGCCTGTCCCCCTACAGGGGGATTTTGGACGAAAAATTCAAAAAAACCCAAGAATATTCAAAAGATGCCTAAACATACTCCAAGAATAGTCTTCTGACTATTTTTTGACTTTTTGGGGATTTCCCCCTGTAGAGGGACAGGCCCGACTTAATCCTAGAGCGGATCGATTCGGAAAATCGGCGGCCACCGAGCCCGCATCGGCTCGGCGGCATCGCAAGGAGCCCCGGCCTCGGCCACCAGGACGTCCGCGGCCGCAGCGCCCGCGAGTGCCCGCGCGGCCGCGAGGTGCCGTGCGGCGGCGTCGAGGTCGCCGCGGAGCGCGCGCGCGCGGGCCAGCGTCACCTCCGAGCGGCGGACAGAAAGGCAGCACACCACCGCAGAGCTGAACCTGAACGGTGCTCTTCGTGTCCGTTTTGTCTCCGTCTTGTCCCCCTCGCTCTTGTCTCGACTCCGCCGCTACCTCAAAACGAAGTCGCGACGACAACGGCCCACGACATCGCCCAAAACACCGGTTAGTCGGCGGCGAGCGAGGGGGGGAAGTGAGACGGGGCGGGCCTTCTCAGAAGGCTCGGAAGTCCCCCGGGCTTCTGAGAAGTTTTCTGAGCCTTCCCCGAAGACAAAACAAACTCTCAGAAGGCGCGAGGGCTTCTGAGAAGTCCCGCCGCCTTCTGAGGAGGCCTTCTCCTTCTCATTGCCTCCCCTCGCTCGCCTCCGAGTGAGGTCCGGCCCTGCAGAACAGCACGGCCACCGAAGGGAGGCGGGCGCGGGGTCTACGCGGATGCGGGGGCTCGCGAAAGGGGGCCGTCCTGCGCGGTGGGCCGTGCGGCTCCGTTTCGCGGGCGCCTGCGCGCACCGTCGAGGCGCTGACCTGCGGGACCCTGAATCAATAGGGAACGAGGCTCCTCTGCATCCATCAGTCAGACTTCGCTGAAGGGGCCCCAGGACACACGAATAAATACACACAAATAATGCAGATTCCCGTATATTTTCCCATATTTTCTGGGTTTATGTTGTCCCCCCCACTGCCCATATTTTCCAATATTTTCTTGGGAATCGCCGATTAATTGTGTTTGTGTGTTTTTGTTCCCTCCTGATTCGCCGTCCCCTCCGAGAAGCTCACGAAAGCCTCAGGCACAAGCTGTGGAACCGTGGAGGACCCCCGGGCCCCTCCCCGACGACCAGGGGCTCCTGCTTATCGGCGCCCCGACTGCCAGCCTTGCCCGGACAGTGGACGCGCGAAGCGCCCGCAGCATCTTTCAGAGGTTAACAAGCCTCGAACTTATCCCTATCCCTAAGATGGGCGAGCAGAAAGCGAGGACAATCTTAGGGACAGGCCCTCAGTAAAACTGAGGGAATCTTTGAGATCGGCATCGAGGCGAGGTGATGTCAAACATAGGGATAGGGATATGCTTCGCACTGGTAAGAGGTGCTTGCCCGTTCTGCGCTGCTTGCCTGGATCAGCTCATCCCACCGCCAGCCTGGCCTGCTGCGGCCGCCCGGGTCCGGCGCGGTCTCCGAGCCGTCGTAGCTGCGCAGCGTCTCCAGCACGCCCTCGGAGCAGCCCTGGCGCAGCTGCACAAGCGCTCGGAGGGCGCGCGCCATCTGGAGCTCCTGGCGCGCACCGCGGACCTGTCTTTTCGCCCAGTAGAGGTCCTCCGCGACGCTGCAGTACGCGAGAGCCCCATCGTGCTGCTGGTCCACCACGTGCGACAAGGCCAGCGCCACTGCTGAGTGCATGTGGCAGGCCGCGTCATCTGAGTGGAGGGCCTTGAGCAGATGCTCGCGGCCCTCGGCACCTTGGCCAGCCTGCACAAGGCACTCCCCGAAGTGGCACAACGAACGCGCCGCGAGGGGGGCAAGCAGACCAGCCTCCCCGTAGAGCTGCGCTGCAGCTGCGAACTGGCCAGTCTGCCAACAACCCTCGGCGCGCATCAGCAACGTCTCGGCGAGGGGTGGGTCGCACTGCGCGACCAGCGTCGATCGGCCACCCAATGGCGTGGGGGGCGTCCGGACAGGGCTGGCCACGGCGCCCGGCAAGACTGGGAAGGGCGTCGGCCCGCTCGCGGCCACGGCCGGCGTGGTGGGTCCGCGGCGGGGTGCTGGGAAGAAGGGCGAAGGGGCCAGTGGCGAGGCGGGCGGCGGTGCCGCCAGAGCCGCCAACGGCGGGCCGCTGGGGGAGTGCCCCGCCACCGGGGAGGCCGCGACGAGGCGCGCGGGGTGTCGGCGGCCCGGGGACGCGGCGACCAGCGGCGACGAAGCCAGCGGCGAGGCCGCCGCCAGCGGCGAGGCGGCCACCGGCGAGCGGCGCGCCGGCGAGGCGAAGAGGGCCGGGCTGGGCGACGCGGTGGCCACCCGCCAGCCCGCGGCCCGGTGAGACGCCCGCTCTGGCGCCGGGCTGCTCCACATGGCGGGGCGCGCGTGGCTCTAGCAGCTGGGAGGGGCCGAAGACGCGCTGCCCATCCACGGCGCCGGCCGGGTGCGTCGGCGGCCTCGGCTGGCGCCGCGGCGCAGTGTGCGCCCTGGTGAGCGGGCGTGCCGCGCTCGGCTGCACGTGGCGTCGCTTGAGGCTGGCGTTGCTGAGTGGAGACTGAAAGAGTGCTCGGGGCTTGAGACCGTTCGATATCGTAAGATTGCCCCGGGCAGCTCTGGGCATTCTCTTGCATAGCTGTGCTCATACATCCATCTTTCCACATTCAGGTGAAGTAGACCTGTCATAACTCAGATGGCCCAATGCGCCCAAGACCGTCCAAAGACCCGAAGAGGCAACCATCATCCGCGCTTTCGGGTTTCAGCGTTTCTTGTTGCGTTCTCGCTAGTTCGGTCGTCTGACACTCCACCACGGCCCAAGAGGCCCCTAAGATAGCTCCAAGACGGCCTGAACAGAAAACCCAAGAGGGCGACAAGACAGCCCCAAAGAGTTTCAAGATGGCCCTAGACGGGATTCTGCCCACCCACCGAACATCCCCCTGAAACGCCCACCGAAAATGTACTCAGGTGGTGATCCCGGAAGGGTCTCCTCGAACCCTTCGAAACATTATCAAGCGAGGTTCGGGGGAATGCTGTGAGGGACAAGCCGGAGACCCTCCCTTAAGAGTGCCCAAAAAAGGGGGGGCTTCAGGGGAGTTCGGGAAAATCAATTCACCCACCCCGGCCCACCCCCCGCCCATGCTTCCGGAACTTGGCCTAAGTGTTGATCCGGCGGCTCTGTTCTCGCCGTCGCCGCCCCGTCACCGCCTCGTCGCTCCTCGTCGCTGGGCCTGGGTGTTGGTCCGGCGGCAAAATTCTCACCACCGCCACCCCGTCGTTGCCCGTTGTCTGGGCATGCACGTCTGGTCCGCCATCTTGTGGTTGCCGTCGCCGCCCCGTCGCCGCCTGTTGTCTGGGCCTGCGCGTCTGGTCCTCCACCTTGTGGTTGCAATCGCCGCCCCGTCGCCGTCGCCGACCCCTCACCGCGTCGTCGCCGCTCGCAGCCTCATCTAGGTTCTCCTTTCTTGAAAGCTCTACCCCACCGGGGTTATCGGCTCACTTCTTCGTCGTGCAATTCACATATGGTTCTGCCCCATCGCCCATCGTTCATATGAATTCGCACCATCCCAGGGGGGGCGGTTTCAGCCCACCCCGCAATCCTCAGCAAAATATGCTATCCGCGCGCAGTCGTCTATCAAAAATGACAAATGTTCGAAAATCCCTTGCCCCAGCGAAAAAAAAACAAGTGCACACGCGCGCCTTTTTCGCGCGCGCGTTCCGAAATCCTTCAACAACCGTCAGTTTCGTAACGATTTCAAAATCGAGCTTCGAGAAAACAAATAAAACATGCAGAGTTTCGCAACACGGATTTTCAAAACAAATTGCGCGCGCTCTTGCAAATGTTGGAGAATGTCGAAACTTGTCCCAAAAGAACTTGCTACCGAACGGGCTTCGTGCGCGCATGTCGAAATCGTTCGAGCGCCCTTGCGCGCGTGCCGTCGCGAGAATCCTTTGTAACAAATGCGACGAATTGCCCTCGCGCGCGTTGTTTTCAAGAAAATGTGCGCTCGTTCTCTTGCGAATGATTCAGAAAACCATTGTTTGCTGCAACATTGTCATGGGATTCAACCAGACGGGCCTCTGGCGCCGCTCGCCGTAGTCGTTCGCGTGCCCTTGCGCGCGCGCTGAAAAAGCACGAACCGTGTCAAATAATACTACGCGGGCAATTCTCGCACGTCGGCCGCGCGCGCATGTCGAACTCTTTCCAAAACCTTCATGACCGACGCGAGGACGCCGTCATCGTCGTCGGCGCACTGGCCGCGCCGACGTCGTTGTCATGTCGCCTGCGTCGCTACTGTCATCATCGTGTCTACCGTCGTCGACGTTGCCATTGTACCGCGCTTGCCCAAATCGCCGACTCGCACTGAAGTGCCCGCTGGGATGTGCCCAGCGGTCAGCGCCACCGCGGCCGCGTCGGTCGCGCCAAACTAACTGGCCGCTGCGCGCGCGTGCTTGGGCTGGCGCGGCCGCAGACGTGCATCAGCCAACGCCAAACACACATCGCAATTGCCACCGCATGGGTTTTGCAGACGAAGTTGCGGGTGGGTGGGTGGGATGTTTGCAAGGGCATGGGATGTGTCAACTCGTTTGTACAAACCAATTGCGCCCCATAAACTTCACCACATAGCGCACACCACAAATATTGCATCACATATGTTGCGCCACGTACTTTACACAACGTAACTCAAACCACGTATCGTGCACTTTGCCGGTTGCACACCATAGCTTGCACCACATACCATAGCTTGAACCACATAGCCCACACCACATAGCTCACACGACATATATGGCACTGCATCGGCTGAACCACCATGGCTCGCACCTGCGTGAAATGCACTGCGTTGGCTGGACCACTTCCACTACTCCGCATAGCTTACCCCGCGCAGATCCCACAACACGGGTTGCACAACATTAAGTTCACGACGTAGCTCACAACCCACAGATCACGCCATGTAGATTGCACCACATAGATTGCACTTCATACGTTGCACATTGTAGCTTGCACCACATTAACTGCACCACATAGCTGATACCACATAGCTATCACAACATAGATGGCACTGCGTAGTTTGCACCACTATCGCTCGAACCACATATAACGCACTGCGTTCTTGCACCGCTTAGGCAGCACCGCATAAGTTGCCCCACGCTGGTCGCACCACATGGGTTGCACCATATAGGTTGCACTGCAAAGCTGGCACCCCATAGCCCGCACCACACGCAATAACACCACATAACCTACACCACATATCTCACACTAAATTGATGAACGCGTTAACCTCGACCACATGGATTGACACCACATAGCTCACACATAGATTGCACCACGTCGCCAGTAGCATGCACCACCTAGCTTGCACACCGAAGTTTGCACCATGACTTTTTCACCACATAGCATCCAACACAAAGGTTGAATACCACAGCTTGCACCACGTACATTGCGTCATATATGATGCGGGAGCGCCCTGTGTTGGGTCCACGTGTGCTGACATAGTTTGCAATTCAGTGCGATGGTTGCGTAACCAATCGCGACGTATCTTCCGCCGCGTATGCCACCATATCAGCATACATACGTATCCGCATAAACAGGTATACACATAACAACGTGTGTGCTTCGAGCGCGACTATGTTCTAGCCACTGCAAAGCCAGAGTCACATCACACAACGCATGGGTACGCGCGCCATCCCACCACGATCACAACGTGGGAACACCAACGCTATCGAGGGCATACATGTCTGGATCGCGTCTCCCGTTTATGTCGGCACATCGTTCACACGGATCGTGCCTCAAGGAGCTCCACCTACGGCCCCCCTGTCCATCTCGGCACATCCCTCACACGGATAGTGCCCCACAAGGAGCTCTATCTACGGCCCCATTTCATAGCTGCACACCACGCACGCGGGTAGTGCTGCACCGCAGTCGCCCCACTCACGTCAGCACACCTCTCACACGGATCGTGCCCTGCAGGGAGTCCGCATCCCGCCCCCCTGCCTAATTTGGCACATCTCTCACACTAATCGTACCCCACATGGAGTTTCACAGATGGCCCCAAAGACACGGTTTGGATAGCGCACCCTCTCCCGCCCATTGCGGCACATCCCTCACGCGGAACGTGCCCAACGAGGATCATCAACCACAGCCCCGGAGACAAGGTTTACACATCGTCCCGCCGCCCATGGCGGCACACTGTTCACTCGAATCGCGCCCTGGAACGAGCTCCACCTATGGCATCAATGGGCCACTTCGCATGGCGCCCACCCAGCCCATTTTGGCACATGCCTCACACGGGTCGTGCCCCACACGGAGCTTCACCTGCAACCTCAGTGGGCGGGATCGCGCGAGGGCACTTGTAGTATTCGGCAGCACCTTCACGCGGATCGTGCCCCACACGGTGTTCAGCGCCCCTGCGCACGTCTGTTCCGCAGCAGCCCACTTTCCGCTCAGTCCCGCGGTGCACAGTCTGTGAAGGCGATGGCCGCGCCCCGCGCTACGCGTGACTGCGCAGGGATGGGCCCGTCGCAAAGCCAATGGCTTGCTTATCCATGGTCCATGGCCGTCGGCCAATACTGCCACCGTGCCTTCCTTCAACCTGGGCGTTGAACCGCGAGGGCCTTAGCTGCCCCGATACGCAACACGCAACACGTAGCGTATTGATACGGAGCTCAACACGTAAGCTGAAAACGTAGGTCCGACGCGATACACTCGCCAAAACGTGGTCCAATACGTGGAGCAACACGCAACGTATTGACACGGACGTCTTGAACACGGGACGTATTGCGTATCAAAACGGGATTATCGAGGCAAGGGCGGGTGGGCGAGGCGGAGTCGGACCACCAAGCGACCGCGGCGGCCCCCGCACCCAGGAGCGGGCGGGCGGGGCAGAGCGGCCGACAGGCCCACGCCGCGGGAGAGCGCCGCGCGAGCGCGGCGCCAAGCAATGGTAAAAGAAACCTGTGTTTGGGGGCCAGGCTCCTCGTGGGGTGCCTGTTGTGAGGGGCCTCTTGGCATGCTTCCTGGGCGCCTCGTGGAGCAGGCCCTGCAGTTTCTCGGGGCTCCTTCGGGGCCGTTCTTGGGGGCCTCTGCCGGGGCCTCCTTTGGGACGGGGGCCTCGGGCCGACGTGGGGCGGAGGGCTCCAACCGTGAGTTCGGGTTCCCCCTCCTTCGGCCTCTCTTGGGGCCCTTCTCTCTTGGGCCGTCCTGGGCCCCCCGTGGACCGTCTTGGGGCCTCTCCTGGGGGCTTTGGAACGCCGTCTTGGGGCGATCTTGGGGGCCTCTCTGGGGCCGTCTCGGACGCCGTGGAGATTCAAAAAAGCGAATCTGCTGGGTATCTACGCTATCCTTTGGGAATGCTGCAATTTTGGCCATCTGGGCGCGCCATGGGGAAACATCGTGGCGCCTTCTTAGGGTCTCATGGGGGCCTTTTGGGCCGTCTGGAAGCCATCTCGGGGCGTCTTGGCCATTATTGCGTGTCGTGGGTGGCCGGGGCGGCCGGGGAAGGTCCACGAGGTCATTGCCTGGGGAAGGAGAATTGGAGGAGGTTGTCCCGGCTCGGGACCCTGGCCCCCCGGTGTTCAAGCATATGGTACATGTCTGTTTGTCTGTCTGTCTGTCTGTCTGTCTGTCTGTCTGTCTGTCTGTCGGTCTGTCTGTCTGTCTGTCTGTCTGTCTGTCTGTCTGTCTGTCTGTCTGTCTGTCTGTCTGTCTGTCTGTCTCTGTCTGAATGCCAGCCACTCTGTCTGTAGGTATGCATGCATGTATGCAAATGTGTGTATGCATATATGAGTATACATGTATTGAGAGAGACGGGGAGAGAGGGAGAGAGAGAGAGAGAGGCACATACACATATTTATAGTTATATATATATAAGTATGTGTATATATATGTGGTATCCCGCGCTTTATGTCACAACGCATGACTAGACATGACAATCTGCTCTCAATGTTGAACGCTAACTACCCGACATCTGCTCGCACGACGATCTGATGGCAACATAATGCCTAAGGTCGCGAGCACTTTGGGAACTTGTCTTACTTGTGTAAAACTCCGAATTTGTCGGAAGCCTCCACATCGTCCCTAATAACTCAACGTGTGATATCTTCTGTCCGTGCAACTCATACTACATCGGCGTACCCCTTATGCGAATGTTTCAGTCAATTCTGGCACTTCGGAAATGGGAGAGTTTCGGGGGAATTTTGTTGGGTAAGCGCATCCAGATCCTCATTGGTATCGGGTTCAGGAGGGTTTGCGGGAAAACATCTCCCGAACTTCCCCCTGGAAAGAAGTTTGGGAGGATTCTGGTAGAAACGCTCCCCGACCTGCCCTTGGAAAGAAACATTATCCTGGCACAAGACCCAGCCATATGCATTTGTGAGTATCGCCGTTGTGGGTATCGCCTTCGGTGGATCTCCCGATTGTGCCACGGAGCATGTAAAGGGTGTGCCGAAGTGGGGCGGAACCATGCGGGCGCTGCTACTGGGGCCTTACGTATAAACCCCCGCACTGTAGTGCCACGAAACACGTGTGAGGGGTGTGCGGAACTGGGGCGAGGCCACCATGTGAACGTCGTCATTGGGGGCCTTCTGTGGAGCTCCCTGTGGGGCCACGGATCGTGCGAAGAGGTGTCCCGAAATTGGCGGGGGGGGCGCGTGCGAACGGATCCAGTGGGGCCTTCGGAAGAGCTCTTTATGGGGCCACGAGGCGCGGGATGGGTGTGCCGAAATCTGGTGCTGACCATGCGAACGTCGCCACTGGGGCCTTCGGTGAAGCTCCTGATGCGGGCACGCAGCGTGTGAAAGGTGTGCCGACAAGGGCGAGGGGGACGCATGCGAACGTCGTCGCGGGGGCCTTCGGTGGAGCTCCCTGTGGGGCCACGAAGCACTGTACTGTGTGGGGCGGACGCATGCGAAAGTCGCCATTTGGGGGCCTTCGGTGGAACTGCCTATGGGGCCACGAAGCGCTGCACTGGGTGGTGCGGGCGCGTGCGAACGTCGCCATTGGGGGCCTTCGGTGGAGCTCCCTATGTGGCCACGAAGCGGTGTATTAGGTTGGCGGACGCATGCGAACATCGCCTCTGGGGCCTTCGGTGAAACTCCTGATGCGCCCACGAAACGCTGCACCAGGTTGGGCGGACGCACGCGAACGTCGCCACGGTGGCCTACGGTGGAGCTCCCTGCGGAGCCACGAAGCGCTGTGCTGGTTGGAGCAGTCACATGCGCACGTTGCCACTGGGGCCTTCGGTGGGGGTCCCCAGGGGGTCACGACAATCATTATTGAGTGGGGCGGACGCATGCGAAAATCGCCACTGGGGCCTTTGGCGAAGCTCCCTACGGGGCCGCGATGCCCTGCACTGAGTCGTGCGGACGCATGCGAGCGTCGTCACTGGGTCCTTCGGTGGGTGTCCCTAGGGGACCACGAAGCGCTGCACTGGGTTCGGCGACACGTAAGAGTGACCCTAGGCAAGAGTGCCCTTTGGTGCGCGGCCTTAGGGGGGCCCGTGGGGGCGTGGAGCAACCGCGCAAGCCGAGGCCGTCGGATTGCATCAACGATCGGTGGGGCGCGCTTCCATAGATCCCTAGCGCCAACAGGCAATTGCGGACTTCCGCCAATTCGTTCCGGGTGCCCCAAAACACCCGCCCGAGGGCACTGCGAAGCCAGACGTAATCGGGCGCCACCGCGGAATGTTGTGGCTCTGCCGGGCCGCATCGCGATGACGTCTGACCGGGTCCGGCGTCAAGGCCGAAACTGGGCCGAAACTTGCCCCCCCCCCGCGGCCACAAATAATTTTCAATAGTAAAGACATGAGTTGTAAAGCGCGGAATGCGAAAAGTTAGTCTATGTTAGTCAAAGTTAGTCAAAGTTAGGCAAAGTTATTCCAGGACGATTTGGGACCAATCCCAAAGCGGAGAGCACGTCGCCCGCTCGACTGGCCCCCCCCTCGCCAAACGAAGCACGCGGCAGAATACACCGTGCATGCGTTGCGATTGATTGCGAGGGGCGCACCCTGAATCAAGCGCGCTCTGATGCGATCGCAGACTGGTGCAGCGTGCGCCGACACGAGGCCGAGCCTACTCCTCAAGAAAATCTGTCCGACACCATTAGGGTCAACACTGAAGGTCACTCTGGCCAAGGGTCACTCTTACGTGTAGCCGATGGGTGGGGCGGGCGCGTGCGAACGTCGCCACTGGTGTCTTCGGTGGAGCTCCCTATGGGGCCACGAAGCGCTGTACCGGGAGGGGCGGACGCATGCGAGCGTTGCCACTGGTGTCTTCGGTGGAGCTCTCTATGGTGCAACGGAGCGCTGTACTGGGTGGGCAGGCGAATGCGAACGTCGCCACTGGGGCCTTCGGTGGAGCTTCCCATAGGGTCAAGAAACGTGTGAGCCTCTGGGGCGTCAAGCGGCTCACCCCTACCAGACACACGCAGCAACAATAAGCTGAGGGGGCGCCAGGGGTGTTTTCCCGAGGGGATCTGGAAACTCCCACACCCTACTGCTTCTCCGTGACCCCGAATGGAGAGCACGCTCAACGAACACACGTACAACGAAACTTTGCCGGTGAGCGCAGAGCGGGTCATGCAATTGTTGAAGTATGGTCATGGCGTGCTCCCGATGCGCTAATATCTGCCCCGTCTGATTCGATAAAGACTGGCGTGCGCGCTTGGTACCTGACGGACGCCACATCGACATAATACGCTCTGGGCCATCCTGTTACGACGCAGATCGCTGTTTCGGGTTTGCCCTGCAAGGCGATCCCTGTCCTGCGTCTGTTCCTCCATCCCACGTCGGCACCCACCTTGTCCCTTCTCCTCTTCCACCCCCTCCTCTCTACTGCTGGTCGCCATGGGGGCAAAGCTGGGACATGACCGCCTCTCCTGGCAGAAGAGCTCTATACTATGCTTTCCCCCTGCGCAGACCATCAACATAGCTCGTTCCAAATCGGGCCACTCTTCATCGATTAGCTGGCCGTCTGCCGTTCGCTCATCCCGCCCTCCCACTGCGCCACTCCACCCCTCGATACCCCCTCTTCATCCTTCCTCCACCCCTCCCCTCTCCTCCCCTGCTTCTCAATCCTACCTCCTCTTCCTCCTCCTCCTCCTCCGCCTCCTCCTCCTCCTCCTCCTCCTCCTCCTCACTCCTCGTCCTCCTCCTCCTCCTCCGTCCCTCCCTCCCTCCCTCTCCTCCTACCGTCTCCTCTTTCTTATCCTCCTGCTCCTCCTGCTCCTCCTGCCTCTCCCCCTCCTCCTGCTGCTCCTCCTCCTCCTGCTCCTCCTCCTCCTTCTCCTCCTCCTCCTCCTCCTCTCTCCTACCCCTCGCCGATCCCCTCTGCCAATCTCCGCCAAAGCGGCTCTGCGCGCCAAGCAACAATCGAACGAACACGGCCCCTGGCGGCCACACTCTGCGAACCTCCGTCACAAGGCAACCTGACTGGAGGATAATGTTTTGGATGAAGGCACAACGTCGTCTGCCTGCTTCTCCCCTCCTCTCCCCCCTTCGCCAGGCAGCAAAGCCTGCCCAGGAGCAGCACGGAGCTTCTAAAGATCATCTCACAGGCGTCGCTCAACTAGGGCCAGTCGACACAAAAAATACACTCTCGCCGGTCCGCGCGTATTTCTTGGATCTGCGCTGGACCCAGCTGGCGGCGCCTCAAGCGCCGCCTCTGGCGGGCTCCGCGCGCCAAGGAGGGGGGTCCAGCACATATCCGAGAAATCCGCGCGGACCGTTTTTGTTGCTTGCTTATTCCTTTCATTGGTCGAGAAAAAGAGGTTTGACACTTCGAGCCCTCGCCCCCGCGGCTGGTCTAAGAAAGGGAGCGGATGATGATGATGATGATGAGGAGGAGGAGGAGGAGCAGAAAGCACTGAACCCAGCCCCTGGACTGGGCGCGTACCGCTCTTGCTGCGAGCGAAAGCCGCGGATCGTGACCCTGTGAGGTTGCCGGGACCGACGCACCCAGGGCGGCAAGAACCCACGTAGACCCATCGCGACGCCGCTCCAAGTCAAAGCGTGGCTCGTTGTTCTTGTAGGACAGCTCCACAATCCTGCCGGAGTGTCGGGCGGTAGGGGCTCGTAGCAGCCCCGCCGCCGCTGCCAGCCCCCCCCCGCCCACGTATCCGTCCTCACCCCTTCGCAAAACGGCCTCTCTCCACCCCTTGCCCACTCCATCCCTCCCTCCCCTCCCTTTCCGCCTTCCCTCCTCCTCCTCTTCTCTGCTGCTCCTCTCAATCTCCATAGGCCACCCCTCCGCTGAGAGGGGTGCGCGGCTCGGCGGCCTTTTGCGTGGACGGCCCCGAGATGTGGGAAGAGGGGAGGGTGAAGGTGGGAGGGGGAAGACCCAAACATGCGATCTCCGGATTTTTTCAATGCGGGGTCCCTGGAGGTCCCGACCCGTTCCCCGGGAAAGATTTTTCCCCACCCGACAAGTTGGGGTCGTTAGATCTTGAGAACAGACCTCCTGACCAGTCCACCCTGCAGACCGCGGCCGCCAGATCCCCAGGCTCCCAAGTATCCCCGGCAGACCCGCCTCGTGCCCCTCTGCATACCGCGGTCGCCAGATCCCCAGGCTTCCCGAATATCCCCGTAAGTCCCGTTCCGCGCCCCTCTGCATACCGCGCTCGCCAGATCCCCAGGCTCCCGACTGTCCCCGTAAGTCCCGTTCCGCGCCCCTCTGCATACCGCGGCCGCCAGATCCGAAGGGCTCCCGACTGTCCCCGTAAGTCCCGTTCCGCGCCCCTCTGCATACCGCGGCCGCCAGATCCGAAGGGCTCCCGAGTGTCCCCGTAAGTCCCGTTCCGCGCTCCTCCGCATACCGCGCCCGCCAGATTCCCAGGCTCCCGAGTGTCCCCGTAAGTCCCGTTCCGCGCCCCTCTGCATACCGCGGCCGCCAGATCCCCAGGCTCCCGACTGTCCCCGTAAGTCCCGTTCCGCGCCCCTCTGCATACCGCGGCCGTCAGATCCCCAGGTCCCCCGAGTATCCCCGAGTGTCCCGCTCCGCGCCGACAAATCAGAACACGACAGAGCGGTGGTATGACATAACAGAACATAGGACAGCACAGCACGACCAGCTATGACAGAACAGAGGCATAACACAACGCCACCAAACACTACGTACCCGAGCAGCACGTACCATAGAGGAGGAGGAGGAGGAGGAGGAGGAGGAGGAGGAGGGGGAGGAGGAGGGGGAGGAGGAGGAAGAGGAGGAGGAGGAGGAGGGGGAGGAGGAGGGGGAGGGGGAAGGGGGAGGAGGAGGAGGAGGAGGAGGAGGAGGGGGAGGAGGAGGAGGAGGCAGTGAGGGGACATGTCGTAACACAACGCGCTATGGCAGAGCCGCGCAACCCATGGCACAACATCACGGCATGGGGCAGTCCGCTGCATGACAACGCAAGCCTTTCACACGAACGCGTCGCAGAACTGAACATGCCCAGGCAGAACATGCCACAACCTCACAACTATCACTACTACTATCCACGGCTTCCCACGACGTATCACGACGTCGGAGCTCTACGCGCCAAGGGCGTCCACCGCGACAGCAAGGCCGAAAGCCGATTTGGAGACGAATTGCCGAGCCTTCTCGACGGTCGGCACTCAGAATCAGCAGCTCGCTTGGTTGCGAGGTCCATGTGCAATTTGACCGCTTTCATATCTCCTCACGAACCATGGCAGCGCATAGCACAGCACATCATAACGGCGCATGTCGTATGACAGGTAACGCCGCCAACGCAAATGGCATGCCATACCCCGACAGTTCGCGGCATCAGATGCGACATCACATCAACGCATGGCATGCCACAACACCATACGCTATGGCATAACGGATCATACAGAACATACCATCGCGCCACAGTCCATACCATAACATAGCAGAGCGTACCTTAACACACTGCCATCACATACCATAACAAACTATAGCACGGCAGAACACACCACACTGTAGAACAGCATCACAACACGTACCATACCATACCATGACCCATCATACCATAACATAGCGCGGTATAACACCTCATAGCATCGCGCAACATATTATATCATAACACCATAACGCGACAACGCACACGATGTTATATCATGTCGGATCAGGGCGTAAGAGGACACACCATACCAACACATATGTGATTCTATCATGGATCGTACAGAGCATACCATGACACCACACATCATAGCATACAAGGCCAGAACACACCAGACCGCATCGCTACGGATCATGAAATTCAATGAAGCACAATGGCATCACACAACATAACATAACACAACATTCCAGCATGTCATGGCATGACAAAGCATTTCATGACAACGCAACGCAATATTTGGTACTGCAATATAAACAAACGCGACGTGCGCGCCGAGGTCAGGCTGGCCACAGGAGCAAACAGGCGCAGCAGGGAACGATCGGACGACGTATCGTGACAGGCGTCACGGCGTCACGCCAGCCCGTCGAGAACAAAACAAACAGAATAGAGCACACCGCAGAAGAACATTATCAAATCAACTCAATAAAACGAAAAGAGCACACCGTAACCAGCATACCATAACATACTTGATGTAATACTGTGACCTCATACGCCAAATATGTGGATATACCACGATTGGCTACAACTTCATGGAATAGACCATAACGGACTGAGCACACCTTGGACAGAGTCACGAATGATAGCAAAACATAGCAGAACCAGACATAGCCTACGTACTATGTCACAACGTGGTAACACGGGGCAAAGCATATCATATAATCGCAAATAATACGATGACAGAGGTGAGCATAAAAGAACATATTTGAGCATAGGGGGAATCATGAACCTGAAGAGGAACTTCATAACATACACTAGGCCGTGCCAGAACATAACCAAACGCGACGTGCGCGCCGAAGTCAGCTCCGCCACAAGTGCAAAGAGGCGCAACGACGACCGACCGGACGACGTATCTAACATGACAGACGTCACGGCGTCACGCCGACCCGTCGACAACATAACATATCATATTGCAGCATGGCAGACTGTAACCTGATCGAGCATACCATAACTGAACCCTGCTAGACACAGCAACGGCAGATCAAGGGCGCACTAGCATCCGCGCCTGGCCACAGGACAAAAACAAGCGCGGCAACGACCGTTAGACGACATACTAAACGCGACAGGCGTCACGACGTCACGCCGCCCGAGATCTGAACAGAACCAAACATATGTGTGTAGAACAGGACAGAACCGAACACAACGCGGTAGGATAGAATTCAGCAGAGACCGAGCACTGGCGGCCTATCATGCGTGACATGCGCGCCAAGCCCAGGCTGGCCACAGAAACGAACAGTAGCAGCAACGACCGATTAGAAGCCATAACGCACGTGAAAGGCGTCACGCCATCACGTCAGCCAGCCCACGACAAAACATAACAGAACATCACGTCAGAGACTACTCTGGGCCAGAATCGAACCGAACATAATAGAGCACAATATCAAGACTACGTCCATAACGGCTGGGGAGGAGCACATCGTCAAATTCCTTGGCCAGGCGTAGGCCCAAGAATTCTGGCATATTTTCTCTTGGCGTCGGACCCAGAGATCCCTAACAAGCTGCCCTATACCGGGGCCCTCGCGACATCCGACCCGAGGCAGGCTGCACAGGGCCGCGCGCTTCGCTGCTCTAGTTAGGTCGGGCATGTCCCCGAGCAGGCGGATTTGTGGTGAACAAGTAACATAAGACCTCAAATATGCTCAAAGAAGAATCAAACAGTGCCCAAACAATCGTCCCCAGACTGTTCTTGCCTATTTCTGAACATTCCTCCTGTTGAGGAGGAGGAGGAGGAGGAGGAGGAGGAGGAGGAAGAGGAGGAGGAGGAGAGGGGCGGGGGGAGGGAGGGAGGGAGGGGTTTTGAGCGGATCTGGGCCTGGCCTTGGGGGCCGCCGTGGTCTCAGCAGGCCTTCCCCCGAGGGACGGTGCACGGAGTGCCGTTATGAGCCAGCGCTGCACGAGGCGCAGCGCACTGCAAAGCGGGCTGTCTGCGTCCCTCCCGCCCCACCCCTCGCGACGGCCGACCCGCGGCAGGCGGCACCCCGGCCGCGCGCCGCGCGGCCCGAGCGCGCGCGCGCCCTCGCTCCTGGGCACGTCGGCCTCGCACACGTCGACGGGGTGGCTCTGCTGGCACCGCAGCTCCTGGAGCACCTCCGGCGCACCGGGGCCAAACATGCTCCACAGATGCCCAAGCATACTCACAAAAGAGCCCCCAGACCCAGACTATAGCTTGACTATGTTTGAGTATTCCCCCTGTAGAGGGACAGGCCCGCCTTGACTGTATCCGACTTGACTAACCAGGTCCCCTTACCTGGGGTCTGGCCAAGGCTGAAAACCTAAACGGTGCTCTTCGTTTTCGTTTGGTTTTCGTTTTCCCTCGTTGTGTCTTCACTCCACCCCTACCGCAGGACGAAGCCGAAACGCAAACGGCCCACGAAGTCGCCAAAACACCGCTTAGGTCCAGCCCTGCTCCGGGGCACGCTGCGGATGTTTGTTGGGAGCAGTCCGTGGCTGCGAAAACGGCCCTTCCCGGAAGAAAGAAACAACTTCCAGGACTCAGGCTCCGCGCGCTAAAGAATGAACGGGCTGCTTCCCGGAAGAACACAATCAATTTCCCGGAGTTCCGCTTGAGACGCCACGGGTTTGCCAGCCTTCGCCCGGCTTCTAAGTTTGGGTGGCCCAAAAGGGGGTCCAGCTGCACGGGGGTGGTGCAATTGATTTGGGGCAAGTGTCTTGCAAATGTATTGGGCCGGAGAATTGCATTGCCTCGTATTGCAACCAATGTTCTGCACGCGAAAATCCAGCAATACATTTGCGCCCCGGAATGTATCACACGCCCCAAATGTATTGCAACCCCACAAATTCGCTGCACCAGATCTATTGCACCCCACCCCCCTGTCGTTGGACCCCCTTTTGGGTCAACCCGAAGATGGTGAGGGGGGGGGGCAGAGAGCAGAACATCCACCCTCATAGCAATCACCCCGACACGCGAAGGGCGTTCAGGAAACGCACCCAGACAGGAGGAATCGAACAGGGCAGGGCTGTTCAGTAAACGCCCAGGGCCGCTTGGCAAACGCCAAAGATCGCCTCCCTCGTGGGGGGGCGATGGCCGGGTGCGCCGAAGAGGTGGGCCAGGAACGCGGGGAGGGGTGCGCCTCATGGCCCCCCGCGGCGCGTGTGCGGACGAGTGGGGGGCCGGGGGCGTGTCGAAGCAGGGAGAGGCGGCCACGAGGTCTGGGAGAGCTCGTGGCCCCAGCCGTGATGTCTTCACACAAAAACAAACACACACAAGCACAAACACAAACACACACACAAACACAAGCACAAACACAAGCACGGCACAAGCACAAGCACAACCACACAAAAATACGCACACAAACAAACAAAGGCACAAGGCACAAGTACAAGTGTTAACACAAGCGCTACCACAAGCACACACAACACACAAACACAAACAGAAACACAAACACAGCCGCAAACACAAACACAAACACAAGCAATACAATTCACACACAACCACTAAAATGAGCACATACTGAAAACTACACAAACACCAGCACAACCACAACCACAAACACAAACACGTAGGCACACACGCACCGACACACGCGCGCACGCACGCACGCAAAACAAACATACACGCACACGCACACACACAGACACAGACACAGACACAGACACAGACATAGACACAGACACAGACACAAGCACACGCACACGCACACGCACACGCACACGCACACGCACGCACAAACACACACACACACGCACACGCACAAACACACGCACACACACACACGCACACGCACACGCGCACGCACACGCAGACGAACACGCGCACACACGCACACGCGCACACGCGCACACGCGCACACGCACACACGCACACACGCACACACGCACACACACGCACACACACACACACACACGCACACACACACACACACACACACACACGCACACACCCACACTCGCACACACGCACACGCACACACGCACACACGCACACACGCACACACGCACACACGCACACACGCACACACACACACACACGCACACACTCACAAGCATACACACACACTTAGTCCTCACCCCACTCTTGGACGTCCTCGAGACAGGGGCGAGCTGGCCAACGGGGGGTAACCGCGACCTCGAACCAGCCATGGCCGACAGATCGGCGACAACGAAACTGCACGTTCTTGGGCGTTGTGGGGCGTCTGCGTGCGACAAGCGGGTGAGGACAATTCTCCTCATTTGCTCCTCCTGATCTCTGGACGGGGATGACGTGGGGGGGTCTATACCAGCCAGCTGGAGATTGTAATCCATGAAGGACTGCGCAGAATCCGCCGGCCCCCATTGGGGGTCAACAGGCTGCGGGGATGAGGATTCCTGGAACCTGTGCTGGTACCAGTCTCCACTTTTCAACGTTACAGTTCTAGTTTCTGATTCCAACTGGAAATTGATACTGTCCGCGCGAGGGGGTGAGGAGAAGGGGGGGAGGGGGGTGCAAAATCCGCTCTGACCACCAACCTGGAATCGCAAATTCGGAATTTCTGCGGCGGGCCCTGGGGCACGTAAACGCGAGCCCATACTCCTCATTAAACTAACTAAGTTACGCGAGGTCCGCGCAAACGAGGTCACGATCCCTGGTAAACTACGCCAGGCTCGCGCCCCCGAAGCCACACTCTTTTGTGAATGCTCAAGATCTACGCCCTCGCGGCCAAGATCCCTCACACATTACGCAAGATTCGTGCCCCCAAGGCCACAACCCTTCGTAAACTGAAGAATCGCGCTACGACCCCACCCCACGGAGACTCCAGCCGCATTTAATTTGTAGTATCGGGACATTTGCTCAAGAGGGCCGTTTCGTTTCCCCCGCCGTTTCCTAAAAATTCTGCGCTGGACCGCGAGTCGTCGAAAGTAGCGACGACTGCAAGGCACACAAAGACAGTCCCAACGGCACAATTTTCCCAAGATGGCCTCAAACAGCCCCAAGTCGCTCCAAGAGGGATTCTAGTCCACAAAGTTGAGAAGCGGCTCTAAGAAGGCAAAGCAATTATCAACGAAACCTCCAACATTTCAATACATTTCGCTGATTGCTGACTCTCCTCGCACGATGTCCCCGAATGCCTGCAACACAACGTAAAACCCATCTGGCCCAGCTATGGAAAACATCTTCGGCTGGGCCTCAATTCGAGTCGGGGGAAAGTTGTGTGAACCTTCGGTTGGTTGCGGGCGGGGGAAACTGCGGACAGGTCGCGGGGAGATGCCGCGAGGCGGAGGCGACATTGTTCCTCCAAAGTGGCACCAATCCCAGCTCCATCCAGTTCTGGTCGTCCAGCATGCCTGGCCAGCGCGCCGATCGCCAGGAAAAGAAAAAGAAGAAGATGAGGAAGAGGAGAAGGATGAGGATGAGGAGGAGGAGGAGAAGCGACCGTTCCGAAAGAGTTTGGACCTGTGGCGCGACAGCGTGATCAGCAGCCGATGGCGGCCGTCGTTGCTGCCAGGGTCGCGCACTGAAATGCAGGTGTTGGGTACGCTCCGTCGCGCATCATACTCTGCCTTGGGCTTGTGATTCATTCATTCACATATATATATATAGATCCATATACATATACATTACGAAAAGCCAAACGAGAATTTGATGCTATCGGACCCGCGGAATCTCCAGCTCAGGGCCAGGTTCCAGACCCAGCCCGAGGCGAACAACGGGGATTGCTGGCAGGTGACCACGAGGGAGAGCGAGACGGTGAAGCAGGCGAGGACCCTAAATGTAACCAGTGGCCGAGATCACCACGGGCTGGGGGCTCAGACCCAAAGAGACGAGGCCGAACATCCATGGCCAGGAGAGACCTCACCGCACGGTCCGTCACCGCACGGTTTTGGGACCTCGGAGGCCCCTGTCACCCGAGACGTCCTCGGAGAGGGACTCGAGTCCCAAAACCGTGCGGTGACCCCGGATCCCCACCGACTCACCGCAAGGTGTGGTCACCACCCCGTTTGGGGGCCCCCGATACTGTGGGACTTTGCAGTGTGCCCGAGAGGGCAGAGCTGGAGGCGCCCCGAGCCCCGGGCGGCGCGCCATCGGGCGCGGGACGACGCGACGCGGTCGTCGACGACCGCGGCCGGGCACGGGTGCGGAGGATGACGAGGAGGGGGATGACGAGGAGGGGGGTTCCTCCTCCTCCTCTCCTCCTCCTCCTCCCCCTCCTCCTCCTCCTCCTCCTCCTCCTCCTCCTCCTCCCTCCCCTCCTCCTCCTCCTCCTCCTCCTCCTCCTCCTCCTCCTCCTCCTCCTCCTCCTCCTCCTCCTCCTCCTCCTCCTCTCTCCACCTCCACCTCCTCTTCCTCCTCGGAGGTGACCGAGAATAAAAGTCGCTACCAGCTTCCTAGCATGCCGGGGCAGCAGGAAGCTGCCTTCCGTTCGTGCGTCTCTCGAACAGCGCGGTCCATATGCCACTCTGCGCAGTGCCCTCCTCGCTCGCGTGTAGGAGGCGCGGTGGCTCTGGCGCGCGGGGCAGCTAAACGAGACGGAAGCACATTCGAAGAAGACCAGCGCGCCAGTCGGAGAAAGGAGGAGGATGGGGAGAAGGAGGAGGGGAGAGGAGGAGGAGAAGCAATACAGGAGGAGACTAGGAGGCGGAGGGGGAGGAGGAGGAGGAGGAGGAGGAGGAGGAGGCGACTAGGAGGCGGAGGAGGAGGAGGAGCAGGAGCAGGAGGAGGAGGAGGGAAGCCTCGGCAGCTGTCAGCTATCGGTCGGTCGATGGCCTGGCGTTCGCCTGGCGAAGCGAGCTGGGTGCTGCTGGCGCAATAGATCGGCAGAAGGACGGGGTCGCCTGCGGGACCCTAGACTTTTTAGCCTGTCGGCCCGCTACAGCGCGGGGCCTGTCCGTCAAAACCCAAATGTTATGTAACTCCAGAGGCTTAAAGCCTTAGGCCAATCACCTCCGACTCAGGTTGCTCCGCGCAACTCGAGAAGCACTGTTGCTGCAACGGTCCGCTCCACCCCGCCATCCCCCATCTCCCACATCCCCCCGCCCCCTAGACATGTCTAGTGTTTCTGTCTCGTGAGGTAAGCACTGATATTATAGGAGCCTGTTGCCCCAGGGAGGGAAAAGCAGAACAACCGAGGCCCGATGTCCCGCGGAATCCAGAAAAATCGTGTCGCGCGGCCGAGAAACACGGAAGAGACCAGGGAACGGGCACCGCGGGGACAAAGAACGCATCGGCATTCACTTCTGACCATTGCTTACGCTACACGAGGAAACTGATCTCATTCGTCGTGCAACCTCACTGCTATCGGTTGCTCCCGATCCTCCTCAGCACTTCTGAAGCTCTCTGACTACTTACATTCGCTGACTGTCGAAAGCCCGCGGGCTCTATCCCTCCGTCTGCTGCTGCCTGGCGCGGAGGACGGCTTGGATCTGCCTCTCCAAGCCTGAGGGCGGGGGCGTCCGAGGATCTGCTCCGCTCTCGCCGCCCGCGGCGCGTGGACGACGGCTCTCTTGATGTCCGCAATCTGGGTGCCCTGCTGGAGCTTGGTGGGAGGTTCTTGGTTTCCCTCGCGGATGGCATTGATCTGGTCCTCCCAGTGCTTTGTCCTAGGTCTGCTGGCTAGTCTGATGACCATCAGGAACAGATTCCAGCGCTCTGGCTGCCCCTGCTCCGCGTACGCCTTCTTGACCTTGAAGTAGCCCAGAATGCCCCCATGGTTCTGCATGCCCATAGCGTCGATGAGGTATCGGAAGTCCGTCAGGATGGCTTTGTGCTCGCCTTCGGCCTTGTCGTTCTGGCCCTTCTCCAGGAAGAGGTCCACACTCACGTGCAGGTGTGTTTGTCCCATGGTCTTGCCGCCCTTCTCTTTGGTGCGTTCCGCGTATGTCGCGCCTGCCCCCACGGCCGCATCCACAGCTGGGTGGCCTCCTGGGACCAGGATGAAATCCCCCATGCTGCCCGACTGCTGGCGTATCATCTGCGCGCTGTTGAGCGTGAGCTTCTGCGCCATCGCGATCTCCGTCTCGAGAGGTGTGTCGCCTGAGCCAGCTCCTGAGTAGCCTGCCCGCTGTTTGGGCTCGAGGGCAAAAAGTTTGGCCCGAGTAGGGCATCGCGTCGAAATAAACTTCGACATGGTGAGAACATGACGAAGGCATGGCCAGGGGCATACGTATGTGCCTATGATCATCGAATACAGGTTCCTCATGTGGTGCGCGTGCATGATGTGAGCCGTCAGTGCCTTGATTGTGGTGAGAAACATCCAGCACCCGGTGCTCTCGCACACGTACTCTGCTATGTTGGTGCTGTCGTCGTCGTTGCCGTCGGCGTCGCTGTAATCGTTCACCTGCACGTCATCGTAGTACTCAGTCGTCATGATGCCGATCCGCTGTAGTAACCTAGTCACCCGTAGGGCCCCTTCGGGAGATAGTATGTGCATGCCTTGGTGGCCCGCGTTGGCCTGCTCTTGTTCTGGGAACGTCTCCTGCGTAGCCTCTCGAATGTTGTTGGCCATTCTGTCCCACCATTTTCCTTGGTCCCGTGTTTGTCGCCATTCGTGTTCAGGTGTCCGCCGTATCTTCTCTTCCACTCGCGGTAGAAACTCCAATCTCGTGTAGCCCTTGGACCACGCCATCATCATTAGGTCGCGGTGGGCAGCTGGCGTGAGCTGGCTCTGGTACGCCTTGCAGATGTGATTGTCGATATTCATGTACACTGGCACGCGGTCGTGTAGGTGGGTGGATACGTGCAGCTGGAGTCGCCGCGCCATGCCGTGAAATGGATGAGGTTGACGATTGCGGTCCTTCGCTGCGGCGGGCAAATCAATGTAATCTATCTTGCTATGGTGTGCGCCCTTGTAGTACGTGGGTCCTGTTCGCCAGGATGTGTCCGCCATCTCGAGGTAATTGCCTTCCAAGAAATCCCTCGCGATCCGGTTGTTGTGATTCTCGGGTGCGGGCTGCACGACGCCATCTGTGTCCCTGATGTACTTGCTTCCTGCAACGTCCGTGCGGATGCCGAACGCGCAGTTGTAGTCTCCCAGCGCAGTCGGCATATAGCTGTGTCCATGCTGGTCAACTTGAAATTGCTGCGAATCAGTATCCTGTGCGCGGCGACGGCAAGGCCTCCCGGCAACAAGTCGATCGGGATGATCGCGACACTCATGGTTCCCATCGATGTGACTGCCATCGCCGCTCGTCCTGTGGTACCTCTCTGTGTGGGCGGCCAAGCTATGCGCTGCACCTGGTTGCGGAACCGTTGGCACACCATGACCGCTGTGCCGCACGAGTTGTTGACGCCCACTGACTTCCGCCATCCGAACTGTCTACTCCGGTGGTTCGGCAGCTGGCCCTGGGTGGCATCGGCGTCGCGAGCTGCCCTCCCTGTGCCAATAGCCACGTAGATATCAATGTCAGCCATCAGTTTTGATGTTTCCTCCTGGCGTGTGCAGTCCGTCCGTTGCACACTGTGATACTTCTCATCTTCAATACACTCTGATGGCACGCGAAGGAAATAGCTGAAAAGAAAAAGGCGGGGTACGGTCTGGCCATCGCTCGGACGTCCATTTCCTGTGCTTTTTTTCGGTTTCGTGCGTGGATTTTTCGCGAAGTGATCAAGGATGCTCCTCGATGGTCCTCGCCGAAGGAAAAATGCACACGTCCGAGCGATGCCAAGCGGTAGCAGACTGCGGAGCAGGGTTTCTCGTGGCCGCCCGAGCGGCCCCGTTCCCGTCGTAGCGCCGCCCGCCCTGTGTTTCACGAGTCACAGTCTGTATTGATCGTGACTGGGGGTGGGCCGCTCGCGGGTGCCTGGGCCGTGGCGGCGGCTGGAGGAGGAGGAGGAGGAGGAGGAGGAGGAAGAGGAGGAGGAAGAGGAGGGAGGGGGAGAGCGCCGCCCGTGCTGAAGTCCTGCCGCGACGGCAGGCCGCTGCCATCCCAGGTGCAGGATATTGAGGGGGCCCAGGGACACACATAGATACACACAAATCCCAGGATTCCAATATATTTTCCCATATTTACTTGGTTTTCGTCTTCCCCACACTTCCCATGTTTCCCATATGTTCGGAGGAATCGATGATTAAATGTCTCTGAGATATGGAGGCTCGCGTCAGCAGGAGGTGGAGGATGTGCGGCACGACGGCCGCCTGGCCGCGCCAAACTTTTTCTGTGCCCTTGCGTTGTGCTTGCTTGCCTCGCGCGGGTCCTCCATCATGCCGTTGCTGACACCTCTGGCGTCTCGCCCCCATGTAGGCGGCGTGCCTGGGGGGATGGTGAGAAGGGGCGGGCCTTCTCAGAAGGCTGGGAAGGTCCCCCCCCGGGCCTTCTGAGACGTTCTCGGGGCCTTCCCCGAAGATGTCGAACCCTTCTCAGAAGACGCGAGCGCTTCCGAGAAGTCCCGCCGCCTTCTCAGAAGGCTGTCTCCTTCTCATTTCCCACCCTCACTCGCCGCCGAGAAAGAGGGGGGGAGCAGGGAGAAGCGAACTCGCCTCAGGGGGCGGCGCTGCCTCCGTCAGCAGCACGGCCTGCAACAGAAAGCGCCAGATCCACTCCCGGGTGCGTTGTGCGCCACAGGCTGCAGCACAAGTTGAGGCCAGCACCCGCCGTGCAGCCAGACCCCCCCCCACGCTCTTGAGCAGCAGGCTGCGGCCCTGCGCTCACTGGCGGCCAACGTTGATGGGCCTGTTTTCCACCACCACCACCACCATACGTTGGAGCGGGGAGGGGGTCCTCCTCCCCCTCGTCTTCTTCCTCCTCCTCCTCCTCACCCTCCACCTCCTTTTCCCCTCCAACTTATGGTGGTGGTGGTGGTGGACAACAGGCCCATCAAACGTGTTGCCCGAACCCCCCTCCAGCTTGTACTTTCGAGCCACCGGGCGTAACACATCCTCTTTTCCACCGGCCTCCCCGTGCTGCTGGACCTCATCTGAGCGCCGCGACCAGCGGCAACCTTTACGGGCGGCCCGCCCAACTCCTCCCCTGAAGGACAGCGCCGCTCTATAAATCAAGGCCAGCTGATCCCGCCGGCCTAGCTGGCCCAACCAGCCTGATGGGCCTGTTTTCCACCACCACCACCAGCATAAGTTGGAGGGGGGAAGGAGGTGGAGGATGAGGATGAGGATGAGGATGAGGAGGAGGAGGAGGAGGACCCCCTCCCCCTCCAACTTATGGTGGTGGTGGTGGTGGTGGTGGTGGAAAACAAGCCCATCACAGCCTAGCCAGCCTGGCCACGACCAAAAGAGCCAGACCCACCGCGGGCCCAACCCGGAAAATGCATCGGCCCGGTTAGCCTGCCTCGTCCAGGCAGCCCTGGCCAGCCCGCGGTCGTCGCGCTGCCAGGCTTCGTTTTGGCGCCGGGGCCAACGGCATCCCCTCCTGCGCCAAGAAGCGTGCCATGAGTCTCCACCTGGGAACCTTCGCGCAGATCGGGGTGTCCACAAACCCGCCATCATCGCACACCCTTGTTACTCGCCCTCCATGCCGTCCTCTGTCCTCGTCGTCGTTTTCGCCCACATCCTTTTTTCCCGCTGCTCTCGAAGCTCCTCCTTCCGTCGGTCGCTGCCGTCGTGCTCTCTTTCCCTCTCCATACGCCCTATCACTCGGAACTGCCCCCCATCGATCCGACGGGTCCATAGGGCGTGCAGCGCGCATGACCCCCACGTGGGTTTCACGGGGGAACGCGTGCTGTCGTGTCAGCAGTCGTTAACTGCTGGCCCGGTGACGTCGAAGCACCTTCGATTGTTGCGGCAGGAGGGCGGCGGACGTCGACCAGGATCCAGGGATTCAAAAGCAGCAACTTGCCCCCTGTTGCAGGCGGGCCGGGCGCGTCCCTGGGAACAGATTGCTTATGACTATGCCTTGTTTGTGTGCTTGTCCCAGGATTAATCCTCCTGCTGCATCTCATTCCTCTGCGGGGGCAGCGCTTGCTCCTGACCTCTACGACTCTGGAAGACGCCATGAACCCTCTGCACACCCCACACGCTCAGAAGTTCTCAGAAGGCACCTGCTGGCACGGCTATGTCTTGATGGCGACATCGGCGATAGCAAGAGTCAACCAGCAACCGCGGTGTCTGGGCGATCGTTGGTGTCCGAGCGAATGTGGGGGAGGGCGCAGAGATGCATGGCAATGCCTCTCTTGAAGGCTACGTAGCGGAGGAACCTGCCCATCTGAAAGGAGGCCTCGCAGGCGGGAGAGACGGGTGATGAGGAGGACGAGCGGAACGAGAAATTCCAAGTGTGGCAGCGGCAGCAGAGACAATCGGTTTTTTGGCCTTGAAGCAACACGACGATGCAGAGTCTGGCCTCGCTTCTGCTCGGGAAAACCTTTCCCATTCTCAAGTGGTAAACCTGTCGGATGAAATAGCCTTCCTGCTACTCAGGCCGGATTTTTTGCTGATGCTCACGGTGCTTGCTGATGCTGTAAAGAGACACCGCACGAAAGTGCTCAGTCCCTGGGACTGATTCCCCAGAAACGAGGAAAGGAAAAGAAAGGAGACCCTTCTGAAAGACAGCAAGTGACGAAGAGGAAGAGGAGGAGGGAGAGAAAGAGAAACCACCGACACCACCACCACCTCCTGGACCTCCTGGGACAAGCCGTTGACGAAACTCTGTCCAGGACAGAAAGGTTTCCTGGTCCAGTTCCTTCCGAGAGGCTGCCTGAGACCTGTTCTTGAGCTCGGGCTGGGATTTTCGACGCTCGAGCCTCACCACCCTCATCGACACGGATACGGCGTCAACTGGACATAAGCTCGAAAAGGGCCGCGTTGCACTTCGAAGCGTCATCTTCGGTGAGCGCGTCCACGGGCATGCGCCCGCGGGGAACCCATCTGACACGCCCTTTGGCCCTTCTCGAGGGCCTCGCAGGTGATTGCGAAATCAATCGCGGTTCTCCTGTCTCTGGCCCCTGCATTTTCCCATGCCATCAATGTATCATGAATGCTTGTGTCCTCGACTACGTGGATCTGTTCCTCTCAGGAACCCAACCGGCAGTCACGCCAACGTACCGTAGTAAAAGGCCCAGCTCCCCGATAGTGATCGGCAGCGTCGATATCTCGAAGGACTATTTCTCGATGCGACAACTGTAGGTATTCTACTTCGGCAACTGCTGAGGAGAGCGCCTGCGTCTCTCCAGCTAGTGCTGAAGGGACCTTTCTACGAAGTTTCGAAGGCCTCCAGCCTAGGATCGATGCCTTAACTGACTTGTTCTGGGCCGCGTCTCGATCGGCTGATCATGCCATCCAGGCCCCCTGCGTCGGGTCCTCGGGGAGCCCAGCTTCGTCGGTCATACCAGCAGGAGCGACAACGCCGCTGGAGTCGGAGAAGGAGAAGAAGGCCATCCGGTCGGGGTCCAGGCTCCGCATCGCGAGGCCTCAGGAGGCCGTCGTCCGAAGGTGGCGCACTAGCTTGTTTGCGAATGCTGCTTCCCCCTGTGATAGGAGTTTAAGTCTGCTGGCCAGTCCGCTTGCCACACCTGCCGCCTCGGGGCGGCATGCACGCCCGACCCATTTTAATTTGTACAACAGTGATCGTAGAGCACGGGGCTCTTGGTCGTCTAGGGGTGCATCTTTGTGGGTGACTCGCCCGCGGGCCTGGTTCAGTGGGCGCACCTCCTCAAGAATGTACTTCTCTTGATCCACCGTGATCTTCTTGGGGCCGAGCGTGACCCGCCTTCCTGCGAAATTAATAAGACTAGCCTGGCAATCGCGGTACTGTCCGAATGTGAATCTCTTCTCTGGGGGCAGCCAGGACCTGGTCTCGGGGGAGGAACTTCCTATGCAGAGGTCGTCTACTTCCAACAATATCATGCTCAAAATCTGGCCCTTGGGACCGGACCGGAGCCACCAGCAGGGCTCGAACAAAAAGCTGGTGGCATCGTGCTTCTCAAGATAACCGGTGACCGTGCGCCGCAGGAGCGTCATCAATACCATCAACGTTAACCTTGAGAAGGATGAGACTCCGCTTCGGAATATCAGCGCCCTCGCAGGGCCCCACATAGATCTGGCCCTGCGATTTCGTCATGGGGTTGCTTTGACAGAATGCTTTCTTCACGTCGGCAATATCGACAAAGATGTCGTAGTTCGCTAGGACCTGCATCAACATCATGATACTGCTGGTCTGAGGAGCAGGAACGTTTCCCTCGAGGGGGCCCGTGTCCGGGTCGCGGTGGCCGTGGACACACCAGCGCGACTTGGCGTCGGGCGCCTAGAAAGTACCCTCGACGGGCTTCCAAAGCCTAACTACCCCACTGGAGATGATGCGTTCCGGCTGAGACCTCCTCGCAACGTCGGCGTGCGAAGGCGGGCTGACTTTTGTCGCCCCCATGCCCATCATGGCATCCCACTCTTCCTTATCAGACACCGTAATTTTAGCTCTCTCGTCTGGGCTCAGCTTTTTCAAGCAAGCCTCCCCCCTCCCTACTGGCGGCCAAGACGTCGTCGCGATCGTCGCCGCCGTCGTCAAAACTGAACTCGTCCTGGATAGACCTGGCCCGGACACCGCCACCACCACCACCACAGAGAAAGAAGTCCTCTCCTTTCTCGTCCCCCGGGGCGGCGCGCTCTGGTGCCGGAGAGCGACTCCGCTACCGAGACCTGCCTTTGATCCTGTCCACCAGCTCAGAGACTCGACGTTGGTTCTCTCGGCCGGCCGCTGGCGGAGGGCTGGAGGTGGCTGGACCTCCGGGCGGTTCGGAGTCTCCTGTTCTGGGCCGCTTGTGGGTCCGACCTGTCCTCGATGGAGCTGGCCTCTGGAGGCCTCCGAAAGCACAGCGGGGCGTTGTTCGTACACCGAGTCAGAATCCTGTTCTCCTCCACTTAGGAGACGGGTTGCGGCGGCGGAAGAGGAGTGGAGGGTGGAGACGAAACCCCGTGGCTGCCTGGAATCCGCGCCGCGCCCTCGCGCCTCTCTCCTCCCTCCGGCTGGAGCTCGACCGGGCTCGCCCGGAGATGACGAACTGCTCGCTGACCCTTCCGGGGCCCTCGTCTGAACCAAGCCCTGTTGGGCCGACGCCGAGTCGCTGTCGTCCCCGGGACGGGCCCCCAAGGATGCCGCAGGAGGAGCCAAGGCCCAGCGGAGGGCCCATCACGGAAACCGGGGGGGGCCTCGGGCTGAGACTCTCGTGGCTCGACCTCGGCCTGGTGGACCTGAAGGGCCGCGTCGGGTCGGTCACAGAAGGCGTCGTTTTACGTTTCTTCTGGGGGGGTCCCTCCCGCTGGACGTCGACGGCAGCTCCTCGTCGGGTCTGGGACTGACGGACCAAACCTTGCCACCGTGGACTCGTGGCAAGTAGAATGCCGCATTCTTCGTCGGGACTGGCTAAACGAACCTGCTTGAGGGGGCATTCCCAAATTCGAACTCTAACGACGACCCGATTCGTTCACCCCTCACAAAAACAACGACGCCTGGGTCCATCCACCCGTCTCTTCGTCGACCCGGAGCATCGGCCCTCGAGGATGTCCTCGCGAGATGACTGCCCGGGGCTGAAAGTCTCAGGGGCCGACAGTCGGGAGTGAGCCGCGCGACAGACCTTGTCTCGCGAGGTGGCTTCGAGGGCCAGACGCCCGGCAGCTTCTCTGACATGCTGAGCGCGAGCGAACTCGGCCCCGGCAAGGTCCTGCTCGGACGGGGGTCGAACGGTGTCGTGCCATCCGGGAATGGCGATGTCGTCGCTGAGAATGTCGCGAGGCAGCCTGGGGTTCTCACCGAAAACCATCTGTAGAAGGGGGAATCCTCCACGGTGCCAGAAACGGTTCTTGTGAGAGACTAGCTCCCAGATCAGTTCGTCCAGTCCTCCAAGGAAGGGACGACGCAGGCACCTGACTCGACCTAAGATCGAACTCTCTCTTTCAACCATCCTCCGTGTCTCTCGACTCGTCTGGTTTGACGCGGCGAATCCGAGTCGCAAATATGGTGTCGGACCCCCCGCTGTTCAAGGCCTCTGGCAAATCTTTCGCCGAACTCGGGCCCTCCGTCGGACGTCGGGAAACGGGGGGAACCGAACGGCCTCGACCAACTTTCCGAAAAAAGCTCGCCACACATCGACGGCCCTGGCTCGTGGGTTCCTGGTACATATCTGGAGGTTCGAACCGCGGTCCACTATGTTGAGGACGGGATGGGTGACCGCTTGGAAGTCTATATAGAAAAGATCCACCGCCACAATGTGGTTAAATCTGAACGTCCGTGGCATGGCCACTCGGCGGTGGATGCTAATCTTCTGGCATTCCACGCACTCGTCGCATCGAAACTTGCTTCGGGCCCAACGCACGAACAATGGTTCAAACCAACCCCTCCCGCACGAAGGACCCGACATAATTTCCTGTTCTTGGGGTGCCCCATGTTCACGGGGAGCTTGTAGATGAGCCTCTCTTCTTCTTCCGATGGTTCGTGGTCCGGAGGAGGCCCTGGCTTGGTCCATGGAGGGCACCTAGTCTCGGGCTCATCCCCGCTCTCACCACTCTCATCCTTGGCTCCCGCGCCCTCTTCTCGAGGTTCGACCTCCGCCTCTTCCGCGGGGAGGGCCTCCGCGAGATCTGACCACCGGGCCCGGGCTTTAGGATCGGCCCCACTCAAATGCTCGGTCACGGCGCGGGCCGCTAGTCGACAGAGCTTGGGAGGGTAACGAGCGGCCTTGGATGCCTTGGACCTGCCCTCAAGGAGCGCGTGGCGGTGGTCCCCAGTGCACAAGCGACCCTCAAGAAGCCTAATGATATGGTGGTGGTTGGTCCTAAGGCCTGTTGGCTTTTTGGTTACCCCTCTGTCGTCGACTTGCAGGTCGGACTGGCGCATGTCTATCCTTAGTCTCCGAACGCCTGAAAGACCCGCTAGTACCTGAATGACTTCTGCGTGCCAGGAGCTGGCATAGAGGGGATGTTCGAGGGCGAAATAGCGACCTTGATCGGCCTGATGCGCCGCCACTTCGGCGGGCAAGATCAGATCTCTAATCCCGGCCGAGATTTCGCGGTGCCATTGACCGGGATCACGCTTGTTCTTATTGAGTCCATCGATCGCCGAGAACACCCAGCGCTCTGGGGACATCCAGATGGCGTTGGGTTCTGCGCTGCGGATTTGCCTCCAGAGGTCTCGAATGCGCCTGGGGTCCGAGACGTCCCACCCCAAAACCAAGTCCAGACTAGGAACATAACCCAAAGCGCTCCTCTCTTCTCCACCTCTGGGGCTATGCGTGGAGGTGAGAAGATCTCGAGGAACGAAGTCCTTCCCTTTGAGCTGGCTTTCGTCGCACGCACCTCTCCCGGCTCTGGGCCTGGGACCTTGTCGGCCGCCGCGCTCGCAAGAGCCTCCCGGGCCCTCGCTCCCCGCTGGACCTCGTGGCCATCGTTCAGACAGTCTCCGTCCAGCCAGAAAATCTCGGGGCTCTCCGAGGGGTCTCTTTGGGTCCCACAGCACTCTTGGTGACTGGATCTCTCGGGCTCTTTGAACCGCGCGGTAGACCTTTGGGGTGGCTGTCTGGGCTTGTCTTTTGCGTCTAAAGCCTCCTCGGTTGCGAGGCCCTCGCACCTGGCAGAACTGGCAGTCAGCCTGAGAGGACACGAGACAGGCGGCGCGGCCAGCTGACTCGCAAGCTGTCCTAGATCAGCTCCCAGTGGCCGTCGGGCTGCGGGTGAAACGTAGTGGCGGTCGCCGTGACTGACGGCCCTCCGAGTCCCTGGTGCGGATCCTCGCGCCCCTCCGCGGGCGGAGGCTGCCGCTGGTTCTGCTGGTTCGCGTTGGCCACCAGCGCCGCCACACTGGTGCCGATCTGCACCGGTATCTGGGCCATCTGGTTCAAGCCTTGCTGGGCGTTGAACACCTCCCCGCGCAGCGTCTCCTCCGCCGCGTGGACCGCGTCGAGTGTCTCCCCGAACTCCTCGAAGCTACCGAGCATCCGCTGGAGGCCGTGGAGCTGCTGGTAGATTATCGCCAGCCCGTCCTCTATCTGAGTGGGGCTGTCGGCCGCGATGGCCACGTGGTTCACCATCTGGTCCAACACTGTCTGGACGTTGTTGAGCGACATCGCCGCTTCCGGCACCTGCTCCAGCTGCCGGCGGAGGCTGCCCAGGAGGGCGTTCAGCGAGTTGATCGTGTTCTGCGCCGCACTCCCAGGAGTGAAGCCGTCTTGCTGCTGCAACAGCTCCAAAGCCCTCTGGGCTGCTAGAGCCGCGGTGCGTGCTGTCTCGGCTGCCGATGGTGGACGATCCTCGGCCCCCCTGCCGGGGCGCCCCTCACCTCTCGGGACCCAGACCAAGCGAGCGTTGCGTCTCGTGCAGCGGGAGCCGCTGCCCCACTGGTTGCCGTAGGTTCGTGTCGCGTTGATGAGCTGGGCACAGCCCTCTCCCATTACTGGAGGTGGCCTCGCAGCTGCCCTCTTCGGCGGTGGCTTCCCTGCTGCAGGTCCTGATAGCGACGCCGTCGGCCCCTGGTCGAGGATGCCGCGGGGCCCTCCCGATGCCGAGGAGCTGCCCAGGGTGGGCGGCAGCCGTCCCGTCGCCGTGGGCACGCCCCCGTGTCCTGGAAGCGGGCCGGGAGGCGGCGGTGGCCCTCCCGGCGCCGGCTTGGGCATCGGCATCGGCGGCGTGTTGATCGGAATGTTGCCCTCGGCTGGCGCGTGCTGCATGGGGGCCTTCCACGGATTCGATGCCGTCGTCTCCATCGCCTCCGCCGTGTTCTCGAGAATCCCGGTCTCGCTGGACGCGCTGCCGTTTTCCTCTAGGATCGCCTCCGAGCAATGGTTCTGGAAGTGCTCCTCCGTGGCCCCCTGAACCCTTGGCGGGTTCTTCCTCGGTGGGCGCTTGCCCCCGCCGGCCCCGCCGGCTTCCGATGGCGAGCTGCGCAGGAGGCCCGCCGGCATGGATCTGGGCACCGCGCGTGCAACCATTGGCCCTGGGAGCAGCACGTCCGGGCCCCCTGGCAACACTGGCACGTGAACGGTCGCTGCGGAAGCAAAGGCTCGATCCAAGACGAGCTGCGGAAAGGGTGCGTGAGGGGGGCTTGAACGCTGATGCTGGGTCGCTCGGCAGCCCTCGGGGCCCTGTGATGTTGGTCGCTGGAAAATTGCCTTGGCTTCGCAGGGAAACTCTGAGCCCGCGATCGACCCGTGGGTCACCCACTGAGCTAGTGGCCCGGGGATCCTCTGGAAGATCATCAGGAGGCGCGTGTCTAGGACGCTCTGGAGGCCCAGTGGCGTCACCCGAGTCCTTCTAATCGAAGCTCTGGGAGTCTTCTCTTCTACCCTGGCGCCCCGCATGATGTCCCGGTGGTTTCCCTCGGGGTTCTTCGATGGGCCCCCGGTGTTCTGGAGGTCTTTCAGAAGCTTGACGGGCGCGAAACTCGACCGCAAAACGATGCCGGTGCGAAACTTGATGGCCTCGTCGCCAGGAAAAGGATTGCGGCGCCGGGCTGAGTCGGGCAGTGCGGCGCCCAGCTCCTGAACGATCGTCGCCACGCGGTGGCCCGAGACCAGCCGCGAGAAGGCAACTCCTGTCTCCAGCGTCAGCAAAAAACGCTTGATTCATAGGCAAATCGATGACCAATGCGAGAAAATCCAGCAAATTCACGCCGAGGATATGCGGAACGTCATCTTTGAGAACGGTGGTCTCGACTATGCCAAGAACGCCGGCCATGCAGAAAGGAAAAAGGATACTGCAGACCACCCTGGCAGGGCCGCCGACTCCGCGAGCTGCTTGAGGGCGCTGGAGATTCTTCGGAATCAACTCGAGGCGCGCCTCCTGCCTAGCCAGTGCCTGGGACTGCTGGTTGAGCGTCTCGATGCCCTCCAGGTCGTTCCCTGCCCCGGGGTCGACCAGCGCCTTATAATGGGGAGAGCGGTCAGGTAGTCCCTGGTTTGCTGGGTATTTACCTGAGCTCGACGCCGCGCCGACAGCTGGTCGCCCGTCACCTCGATGGTGCTCAGCCCCTCGACGCCGCCAAATGTGCATCCCGCGAGGTTCTGTCTCTGGCCGCTGGCCGCGCCGCCCTTGTTGCGGAACTTCGGGCACTCCTGGCCCCAATGCCCCTTCTCATGGCATAGCTTGCACTTAGTGATCTTCATTAGGGCCTCGGTCGACAGGCGACCGCGGACCTGGTCTGAGCTCCGCCCGCGGCCTGGACGTCCTCGGCCGCGGCCGCGCCCCCGTCCCCGGAAGCGGCCGGAGGGCGGCGGCGGGGCCCGGCCCTGACCGCCGAAGTACTCGCGGCCCCGCCTGGCAGCCATTTTCATCTCCTCATTTTGCTCCAACGTTCTGTCGTTCGGCCTGCTCTCCTCGAAGGCTGCGAGAGCCTCGTCCACCTGGTCGTCGTAAAGGTCGAGATCCTCGAGCTCGGCGAGCAGCGCGGCAGCGTCGGCCTCCTCGTCGAGGTCGTCGAGCTCGTCCTCGGCATCGTCCTCCCCCAGGTCACCACTTTCGCCGAACCTACCTGCGGGGAAGGAGGGAGATGAGGAATGAACTGCATCTGAAGTCGAAGCAGGCTCTTCGGCCTCCTCGATTCCAGCAAGCAAACTCGCCGAGGACCTGCCTGGCAACGACCTCTCACTGCCAGATGCGTCCATCTGTCTCTATGGCCACGCTTCACTGTCGTACTTGAGCGTCCCGCGAGTCAGAGTGCGTAGATTCTGCATTGGCTGGGAGGACAATTGAGCACCATCCTGAGGCATGAGCCCCCTGAGCTCCGGAGACAACCACATATTGTTTCCCTCAGCCTCTGCGAACTGAAAGTCACGCCTGCCGACGTAATGAGTGAGGGTCTCCTTCGGACCCTTCGTTTTCCCACCTCCAAGTCCATGCGAGCAGGGACTGCTTCTAGCCAGCCTGGCCCCGCGATAATATTCTTTGGTATATCTTCAATGCGCATCTGCATGTTCCAGTCGAATAGTCGAACGAATGTTAATGATCGCCGCCGTGTTGGAAAGTCGGTGTTGCGGTTCCATCTCTCTAACTGTCGGTAGAAATTCCAGCCCGAGGAGGATCGGAGTAGTCGCCGCGGCCTGGGTTCTCCCGCCGGCCGCTCTGCCACAGGTCCCAGCCAAACAAATCCCTGTTGGACTTGTCTCACTCGGACTTGTCCCACTCGGACTTGTCCCAGTTAAACTTGTCCCAGTTGCCGTTCTGCCACTCGTCGGACTTCTGACAGTCCTTCCACACGTCTTTGGTCTCGTCCGAGCTGCTTGCTGCTGCTGCTGGCTGTCGTGCAGCCTCCTGCCTAGCCTGCCACGGATCGCCTCCAGTCGCGGTCTGTCCTCCCGCGTCCATAGTCCGTCGGACGATGCTGGTGATCACAGATCTTCGAACTGCCGACGGGAGACTGCTAGCGGCGCCTCTGGTGTAATCTGCTGCACCTCCGCCGCGGTGACAGCCGCCGTGAAACCGGTGTCGTCGCTAGGAGCGGACCCCGCTCCTTCCCTCATGCCGTGGGCCGCCCCGCCCGGCCTGTGGAAGCCGGCTTGGCCTGAGGCACGCGAGATGCGGCTGCCCACGTCCTCAAGCGCCGGCCCCGCGGCCCATGGCCCCGGACAGAACCGGCTCCGCTACCAACTGTGGCAGCGGCAGCAGAGACGATCGGCGTTTTGGCCTTGAGCCAACATGACGACAAAGAGTCTGGCTTCGCTTCTGCTCGGGAAAAACTTTCCACGCTCAAATGCTAAACCTGTCGGACTAAATCGCCCTCCTGCTACTCAAGGGCGATGAGGGGAAACGTGTGATGGTACGGATGAGGATGAAGCATGAGGGGCATCTGTGCACCACTAAGTGCAGGAAAAGCGAGGGGAAGGGATGAGCGTGAGGCGTCAAATCACGGCTGCCCTACGCCTGTGCTGTCACCACCTCTCACATCAAGGATTCTGATGAAGAGGGTGTCAGGAGGAGGAAAGAGGCAAGCTACGTGGGCTCGCGCCAGATCTGACACTAAAAACCTCCCCCACCCATCCCTTCCCGTTGCGCTTAATTGTATCCGCCGACTGGTGTCCTAGAGGACCTTGATTCCCAAAATGACCTCGCCGTGTCATCCGCAAGCAGAAAAGGGGCATTTGTAGTGGGGGAAGAGGAGGAGGCGGAGGAGGAGGAGGAGGAGGAGGAGGACCAGCAGCAAGTGCAGAAAGAACATTCGGAAGGACGGGCAGGCCTCCTGCGTGAACCCTCCCAGCCTCCCCGAGCGCTCCTCTGTGACTCGTGGCCTTGGCAAGAAGGATGAGGATCAGCAGGAGCAGGTGCATTAGGAAGCAACAGCTGTGAGGTTTTCGTCGGGAAGATTAGGGAGGATTAAGCCCCATTTGGCAGCTGTTACGCTGAAGTGGACCTCGGACTAAACGGTACTCAACGGGATCAAGCGGGATTAAGCTGGACCTCGGTCCAGTGCAAGATCAAAATTTGTCCTCCGAGGAGTTGCATCCCAAGGTGCAGGAAGAGCAGGACAAGCAGGAGGACCAGTGGAAGGCAGAGGGGGCGGGGAACGAGGTTGCGTCAGCGACGGGGAAGAGCCCGGGTCCGGCAATGAGGCCGGTGCTCTGGCAAGAGCGCCGCTGTGCACGACGGGGGCACGGCGCAAATCCTGAAATGTGGCCAACCCTGCAACAGCGGCACCATACAGCCGGGGCGTTGACCTAAGGAACCCTAGATAAGGAACGAGGCCCTTTTTTCCATAAGTTAGACGTCGATTTCCCATCGAGAACCTAAGGACAACCTTTGGCAACCTGCGAAACAATTAAGGAACACGGAGACCCTCCCCAACGAAAAGGGCTTCTTGTTCAGAGCCCCGAGTGTATTTGAAAGAAAGGGCACTTTCGGGTCAAACACATCGGCGGAAACACAACATGATGATCACTCGGTATGGGAGTCAATACGCGAGAACGGCGGAGGCAGCACTGCACATCCTTCGGCGGAAAGGCGAGTAGTACTCATAGTGAGCGCTTGTCAGTAGGAGAAGGGATGACGAGGACGACGTGGGATGCATTGCAGGCGATCGCGGGCCCTGCAGCCTGGCTGGTGGTCTCTGACTCACGGAACGCGTTTGGCCCCATGATCCAGACACGTGGCCCACCGACGACCCTCGCAGCCGAACGATCTGGTGCGATAGGGCAGGGCGTAGTACATCGCCGTCTCTACGTCTGCCTCTGATTGTCCCATCCTCAACTGATGATACCACCAACGACGAATATGGTGAGGGCAATCCGGGCAATCCACGATGTCCACACTCGCGCTGAATAGTCCATGAGAGGACATGGGCAAAGATGTACTAAAGACGTAGACCAAGAGCCGGAGATAATGTTATGTTAATAACGTGTTGCACACACGCATACCGACCGGAAATTGAGAGGTGAAACCGACATGCGACGTCAGGTGCCTCAACCGGATCATCGTTTTGTTGTGTTTCGCGTCCGTACGGGCGGGGCGAGGCGAGGCGAAGTAGCGCGCGTTCGTCAAATGGCCCCGCGCGCTGGCTGTGGTGCGAAAATTGAAAATTGCCCCTGGTTGTGCCGCTGGTTGTCCCGATGGTTGTCCGATGATTGTCCAGATGGATGGATGCTATGATGTTTATCCCGAAAGGTGTCCGTACCGCTGTCCCGATGATTGTCTGGACGGATGTCTGGGTGGTTGTCTGCAAGGTTGTTTGGATGGTTGTCTGGGTGGTTGTCTGGGTGGTTGTCTGGATGTGTGTGTGTGTGGATGGTTGGCCGGATGGTTGGTTGGATGGTTGTCTGCATGGTTGCCTGGGTGGCTGCCTGCATGGTTGTCTGGATGGTGGTCTGACTGGGTGCCCCGATGGTTGTCCCGATGGTTGTCCCGATGGTGATCCTGGCGGTTGTCCCGATGGTAGCCCCGATGGTTTGCATCGATGGTTGTCCCTATGACTGTCGATGGGTGTCTCGATGGTCGTCCCGATGGTTGTCCCGATGGATGGGTGCCCCGATGGTTGGCTCCTGATGTTCAGCCCGACTGCTTTTTGTCCGATGATCCAGACAACCTGACATATGATGTAAATTCTCCATCACGTCCTTGCTCAGGGGATCCGTTAACAAGAACCTTGCGGGCGGCCTCTCACTCGGCGCTGACAGACGACGCGGTGGCGCGGGCGCCGCTTCTTTTTCCTCCGACGAAGCGCGAAGAGCGCTCCGCAGTTGTCTCGTGCCACTTCCTTTGCGGGGCGAACTGTGGCTCGAGCCAAACGCGCGCGGCGGCGCGCGTTGGAAAAGCGAGAGAACGCAGGGGGCACCGAACAAAAATCCCCCCCCCCCCCCCCCCCCGCGTCGAGCACCGAAGCAACCGCACCCCCGCACGCCGGCCTTCGGCGCGCCGCGCCGGAGAGCGCCAGCCCTCAAACACCCCTCCTAGCCAGCGCTCACCACTCGCGCGGCGCAGGCACCCGCTGCAGCGGCGAGGGCCTGATCGCTCAGCGGACGCCCGCTTGATTCGCCAGGCCCTCGGGCCACCCAGCAAACATCGTTCAGCCGCTCGGGTAGCTCCGCAGCTCGCGACGACCTCGGCCACCTTTCGTCCGGGCGTTTTTCGTTTCCTTCAAACAGCATTGCTCTTGTCAGAGCAGTGCGTCCACGGGGACTTCCCAAACTCATCCTTACATGTGTCGAGTCGGGGATCGACTGCAGAATTGATTTGCCCCCAACTTGGTTCTCTCGTCGAATCCATGAGAAGTGCGTAGAACGTTCGTAGATCTACAAACATCCTGCGTACGACTCGACGAGTCAATCGATTTTGGGGTAAATCAATTATGTAGACGATCCCGTACTCCAGTTCGTTTTCGCGCCATCCGCCCCCCTGGCTCTGGTCGCCTTCGCAAGCGCTGCCAGCTTCGTGGTTCTTACTCCCGCCGCTCGAGCTCCGCGTCGCAGCGGCCAGCGCTGCCGGCTTCGGCAGCCCTGCTCCGCCGTTTCTCGCATTCTTCCCCGCGGTTCTGGGTACTAGCGCTTTCCCGAAGTCTCTGTCCTAGGTTGCAGTCGGACCGAAGTATGGGC